GCAGCTCCGTCCCGCTGCATTCCCTGAAAACCTGCTATACTTTTTCTCACGTGCCTCCCCGTTATTTTTGTGTGAGCAGGTTTTGCTGTTGTCCGCTGCCTGCTGTGGAGGGAGGGACGAGCTCCATTACCTTCACGCGTTGCCTGCAGTGGGCTCTGGCACGCTGCTTGCCTCCCGCCTCAGAGCAGATGCTGAGGTGTCCTTGACATGCATTTGTCGATGCGAGGAGCTGTGTGCAGGGAAGCCAGCATGAGCTGCGTGAGTAATCAGCCTGAGGTGTTCAGTGCTGCTCCAGGACCAGGGCTTTCTCACTGCCTGTTAACACTGAGCTGCAGATGTTAGGGCTTTAACTGTAACTGTGGTTGAATGACACTGTAATAAGCTTATCTCTGTTCAGCTTAGAAATTGGAGATGGCCTGAGGGATTGGTTTATTTATTTATTTCTGCAAAGCCCATGTCCATTGCGCACGGATCCTTGGTATTTATTTATTTATTTATCTGTCTATTTATTTATTTATTTATTTGTTTATTGCTGCCTCAGTGCACAAAGAATTAGCCATGCTGTGCCAGCTAATATCTGTGGGAATTAATGCATGGCCAAAATTCATACCTTTAAAGTGGCAGGTCCAGTTGTTCAGCTGTTGAACAGAAATGGAAGTGCGTTTCCAGGGGAAGGCTCTGCCCGCAGTGTTTGGAAAGTGCAAGCTTCCTCGTAAGCGGAACTGAGGCAGAGAAAATCTTTACTCTCCATTTCCGTCAGTGGAGGGGGAATCAACACTTGAATGTATCCTTTAGCTTATTTCCCCTGCCACACGCAAATAAATATAATTTGAATACGTGTAAACCTTCATTAGCATTTATTTACTTTTCTAAATGCAGGCAGTGCCATGTGAAGGTAGATGCGCCCTTTTTGAGCCTTTTTAGAATACGCGGCCTTAAGTGCTCTCTGTGATGTGCACACCAGTACAGTTGTGCTGTTTTCCTCCCAGTAAACATACTGGAAGGGGAAGTCGCGCTCTCCTTATTCCACCTGGAAAGCTTTGCCGAGAATCTGAAAGGCAGTCTCTCGGGCAGACTGAACAGAAGTGGGCAAGGTTAGAGCAAAGTCACGCTCCCATTGTTAACTCGTGTTTATTACTTCTGCCTGCCCAGACACTCCCTGTACTTTCCACGAGACCTCGGCGTTAAACGAGACAAGGGCATTTACTCACAGGGAGCTTTGCGCTGCGGCACCCTGCCTTGCTGTGATGTTCTGGTGGTAAAGGCAAGGAGGCGGCGTGTTTGGAAGCAGAGACGCTTCACAGTGTGTTTGCAGGTGTGGGAGTGCATATTATATCCTGCACACATTTTCGGTTTCGCCTTCCTGCAAGAGTAGCTGGAGCTGATTTTAAAACAGCTCTGTTTACTTCCAGCATTTGTAAGTGGATGTTGAAATGTACTTAAAAACCATGTTAGTACTTTTCTCAGTGAAAATGAACGAGCTGGAGACTTTGTGTCACGATCGCTCTCTTCACAGGGAAGGCAGGAGCTTCTCTGGAGTGAGGACTTGCACCGTTTTATTGCTGACGGGTTTTGTGAAATGTAAATGGAGATCTCTACATGGAGATGGCCTGTGAACACTGACATGTTGACTTAATGTGTGTCTAAAACACCGAATGTGTGAATTCAAATGTTTTTACAGTATTTCTTGAGATGATGAGACAATAGCAGCTGTAGCCTTTCGAGCTTTAGAAACTAGGGAGCCTTTTTTGTGTCCGAGTTTTTTCAGTGCAAACATCCTGAAAGATATGGGAAAGAGAACTCCTCCTCAGTGGAGTTCACTGTCCCATACTGTCTATGTAACATTTAAATCCCACTTGAGTTCAAATTTGTGTTTAACAGTAGCAAAAAAAGTACTTTATATCATTCCCTCCATAAAACGAAATACTTAATGTGTGCATGAGGGGCACTCCGTGTTGTATTTCCAAAGCAGATGTCATGTTTTGCTTTTTAACATAAGGGATTTCTTGCTTGTTAGCCAAATTGCTGGAGGCAAACCCCTGACTGTGGAGGTGGCTGGAGTGGAGTACATGAACGATGACCCTGCCATGACGGACGTCCTTTATGCCAAAGTCCACATGAAGGATGGCTCGGACAGGTGAGTTCCCCACGCTCCTTTCTGTCATTCCTCCTCGATGTGCCGCGACAGCAGTAGCGGTGTGCCAGAGAAACCCCTGCTGTCTGAAGCTCGTGGGTGCTGCGAGCAGTCCTTGGGCCAGCAGTCAGGAAGATGAAGTCATTCTGGCTTCCTAAACGGGTTAAGGCAGTGATGTGTTTGCTCTTTAAATCAGTCTCTGGTGGTGTAGCTGAAGGATGTCATTTGTTTCCGTAGCAGTCTGTCAGATTGAATAATGGTGTCGTGGCTTGCACAGTGATAAGATGGCCAAGGAGATACTCCTGAGATGACTTAGAAAGCAGGACAACTTGGCCTCTGCTGTCTAGTTCGCACCCTGCCGTCTAGATTAATATGGACAGTCTGGCGTGTTCTGCAGCACTTAATTATTCTTAAAGCCCAGTTACACCAGAAGGTCCTCAGAAAAGCATGACTTGGTTAAAGAGTTGGTTATTGCATCTGTAAGGAGCCTGGAAGAGGTGCTGGGTGCGAAACGCCTGTCTTCTGAGCTGCTGGTGTCAGTGCGTGTGTTTGTGCTGTTCGCCACTGTGGCTGATGGCTTTAGCTCCACAAACAGTGCTGCCCAGGGTGTCACACAACCTGCCTCCATCTCGTTTCTCACGAGTACGTCACCTGTGCCAGCACCGTCTTCTCGTGCTTTCTGGAAGACTGGGGAAACATAAGAGCTGTTGTGCTCTGTGCTGCCAGTTGTGAGGTGGGTGGGAAAGAGGGTAGGGGACTAGCCAAAAGAGCTTTAGCCTTCTCTCTTTCTGGCAGTGCTGCCCTGTTGTTTTCTGCTCCCGTTGCTGGAGGACAGCAGGAGCTAGCAGAGGAGAACGAAGCAGTGCAGCTGGAGGAAGGAGGCTGGGAGCAGGCTCAGGGAAGAAAGGACATGTTCTGGCATCTCCTTTGCCCAAGGGCTGAGGAGACAAGGGGGGCCCCCCTACTTAAAACTGCTCTTTGGAGGCTGTGTTGAAGTAAGAGATCGGAAGTGGGATAAGAAAATGGGTGGGAAAATGAAAATGTAAGAATTTCTGAAAGGCAGTAGGAATTGAAATCTTTTCCTTTTCTCCGCTCT